CCAATGTCGGTCAGGTTGTTTCATGTGAGCTTATAGATTGATGTGTGACACATCCACACCTCATATTGCAGGACAACGAGTGTCAGGCAGTCATTTTCGCTATCTTTCACGATGATACAGTGGCGATTGGTCACATGTGAAAAAATGGAAAATGCCCACATTTTGGCAGTTTCGCGTAATCAGTCGGTGTAGTGTTGATGCTTATGTTGATTTAAGGTATGGTTCATAAAGCTTGGTTGGTTTGGAATCAGTGTTTTTAGCCAACTACCCTAGGTGAACTGCGAGTAGTTCGCCGACCGGGTCATAGCCCTGGATGTTGGTCTTACTTTCTGTCCCTTTGGTAGGAAAACTTCACTAAGGGAACGCAATGAGAAGAACTTCCCCAATAAAAATTATTTGAAACATTTGGTTTTACGGGGCCATTTCACGAGGTGCAAGAAATATGTAACTAGACAAACCCGAGACACTCAACATTGACCATGCTGAGGCCTCGGAAGGAATAAGAAAGAAAGGAATCTTACTAGAGTGGTAGAATTCAAGCGGTTTAAATAGCTGGTTTTCGCGTACTTCGGGCGCCACGGTTCGAGGTTCGAACCCCACCACCACTACCCAACTTTGGTGGTGGGCAGATTCGCTGTCGTCCGGCTCAATACTGCTCTCTCATCCTTGTGGTTCGTCATATCTGGGGCTTAGCCTGCCGGTTCCTAAGATCGACAGTGGATCTTAGTGACCATGATGTTTAGTCCTTCTACTTTGCATCCCTTGAAATTGTGTAACAAAAAATAACGGGTAGATTGACGCTTATGGTAAAGGGCTCATTTCGTGCGGCTAGTTTATGTCGATGTATAATCCTGAATGATAACTGAAATGCAACGCGCCATGAGAACACATTTCAACATTTACTTTTCCGTTTAACACAACGAAAATGAATGGGATATCCTTATGTCAACACGAATATGTCGCAATAGACACCTCAGGTCGCAGAGGTCGAGCCCTTTTTTGTAACTCGCTTACACTCGTGATATAAACCCGATTGGGGGCCTCTGAGAATTACTAATCATATGTTAATGACAAAGTAAAAAGTTTTTTTCTAAATTTCGTTGCATAACTGTTGGAGTACTTTGAACACGACACGGGAGTATAAATAAGTATTGCAGTTTTCCGGAGAGTGAGTTGGTCGTGTACGAAAATGGTGCAGGGCAATTTTGGGGAGCAAAAGGGGCATAGGGTACATGCACCGACGCAATAGATTAGAAGTATTGCACTGTAACTGTTCCATCTCACTCGGATGAATTTGCGACTATGATTTTCATACTATCATCCTTTTTGATTAGTTTAGCCTATTTCAATTGGTTTCGGTGAGCATTGTCTCTTCAGGTTGACTATCACGGTGTTCGCATTGTTGCGACCACTAGATTGAATACCCNTGGCGCGCATTGTAGGGCAGCAGAACGTTACCCAGGTACTAAATTCCACGAGGCGGCTACTGGAAATGGTGAACTGGTCTTATCTAATTTTTTGTGAAAAATTAATTCACCATTGCCTGAACTTAGCCGCACGTGATTGAAGCACACATGCAACATTCTACATCTCTACGCGTGTTCCCAACCGGGATTCAGTTTAGGATACTCTAGTAACTTCGCCCTTCCAAAACAGTATTGCCACCATACAGCAATTCTTCGCCTCCAAATTCGTTTTCTCATGTTAAAATGGGCATATTCTGGAATTTTTTTCGTCAGACGTTGGGTTACCATAGTTGAGTTTGGTGTGTTTTCACTGAATCATCACATTATGCCGTAGATCGATTGCGTTCCTGGAATAGTTATATCTAGTTACTACGTGGAGTGGCAATCTGTTCGTTGCCAATGGGCGCATGAGCGTGAGCGAAGAGGTTACCAATCTGTGTTGTGCCTGTGCATATTGCGTGTCTCGTTTCTTGCCGCGTGCACTCACCGATCCAATCGTTGGAACACAAATGATTACTCGCTTTATAAGAAGGATGTGAACATCGTCACTTTTCCAATTTCAAAAAGGGATATTGACAGAAAAGAAGCACATAAAAAAGAACTGGTCCTCACGGTCACTCTCCACGCACATTTCTTTTCGGCGTCGAGTTGTGGGATGTTTCCCTGGACCATCTTTGGATTCGTGGTGCGAAATTGACGTCCTCGTCACTACTCCACAGCCGCTGCATTATTTCCGTTCAGAATAACCAACGGTATCTATTCACCACAAGAGCTGGCTAACTTAAGCTGTCTGGTCTGACCTCCAGCTGCAGCTTACTGCACATTATTACCTCATGATATAAAGCTCATTCGACCACATCCTTGATCATATCGAACTTCACCAGATGGAATCCCTGAATAACAAGTTTTCTTTAAGATTTTACTATGACTGAATGGGAAAACCACCTGCCGAATACGCGTTGGCTAATGTGTAACCATTTTGTGGATCTCCTGATTCTATAAATTATTGGCTTATTTGTTCAGCCGATCTTATTTACAGGAACTCGTAATTTCGTAATGAAACTGTTGAGTGTTCTATGTATCTCATTATATTATGAGGCTAAGGCGACTGGGTCAGTGAAAAATGCATGAGAAATGTGGCGCCAGCTCAAAAGTATATTATTATTTGAAGCTCTCACGATAGCAGCAATCTAACAAATGATTATAACTTTTTTCAGGCCATGTAGAACGCAATCGAATTTTAAGTGAATAAAGTAAGATTTTTGCTTTTTTAAATAAAATGGAGATAACGGTGTGACATTCAGTGAAAAGACAACGATGATGTGGATAGTGAGGAAAATAACTAACAGCGGAGTTGTGAAAAACTGTGGCGCAAGTCTGTAAAGGTTTGAATTTAATTCGGGTGATAGAAGTGAAGATGAAGCGAGAGAGGTTATGGAGGATGTGATGCACCAAACAGGATTGACTCACAGACGGTTATGTGCTTTAAGATGTTGGTGGGCAATGGAGTCGACCAACGCCACAAAAGGTCCATATTTGAAGATGCTTTTGACAGGTCGTGTAATCAATGTAACATCCGTAGACGACAGAGCGGAGACAATAGCAGGGAAACAGTAGATTCAATAGCATAACTTAAGAAATGACGTACAACGACACCATCACATGTCGAAGGGTGAAATGTAAAGTGTCAGCTTTCGAATTTTTAGAAATGTTTGTTTGCGCGTGGTAGGATCGTTTGAGGTCAGCAGGCAGAACGTATCTAACATATTTCAAATGATGTGACGGTTCAACGTTTGAATTGTTGAGCAATATGTTGGTAACGGGTGGTCCGAAATGTGTCAATGTTCTAGGAATAAAATTTTCAATACATTTACTTGGGTCTAACACCGTGGGATCACTCAAAAATATGGCTTTTGACTGATTGAAGAGGATTGGTGAAAGAGTTGATGTTGGATACATAACCAATCACTACTTCATTGGCATACTTGAATGTGAACTGGTAAATTTTGAATGTAAAGGGAGAAAAGAGAAGGGGATAAAATTACTCTTTAATACACATTGGTTTACATGGACAGTGGAAGGCCTAAGACCGTTAAGACAAGTGAACTGGTTTCGGTCAATAAAATAGTTATACATCCAGCTCAACAGATGTGGCCAGAGATTTTGTTGCTGCAACAGTATCAATAAGGTATTTTCATTAACTAAGTTAAAACTGTCTGTATAGTCCAGGAAAACAAAAGTGAACAGTCTTGTGTTTTTGATGGATCATGAATGAAACGGAATGTGTAGGACAGGCAATCGCATCTACAGTAGAGTGATGCTTAAAATAGACAAGATGATTGGAATCACAAAGAGGAAAGAGTCTGAATAATAATTCGCTCAAAAGTCTTGAGTAGTACCAAGGATGAAGCTATACTGGCTCAAACTTCCCTCTTTGTTCCTGGGGTACTGGAGTGGTGGGAACATCACGCTATATATTAGCTAGTATACCTTCTGACAGACAT